TGGTTGACCGAGGGCCTAGTTACGTATTGTTTTTTCTTTGGACCGTCACCCTGTGGGGCTGAGGTTCAGGGCAGCTAAGTGGAGGAAACTGGTTTGAAACGTGGTTTTGAACGGGAGAAGATCAACTGTTATTGTGAAAGTTTGTTGGATATTTTACAATAATAAAGGCAGAAATCATTTATTTATCAAGTGTTTTGTAACTTTGTGTTTCGGTTTGATGGTTTTCAGACCGACTCATGTTTCTGGATTTACTAATCTGTACTGTGTTTGGCAGAAACGTGGCTGAATCAAGATGCTAACAGACTAAAAAAGTGCTGGCACAAACTGATCTGTTTTTATATTTTGTTTCAGAAAACTGAGCTGAAAATAACACTTCCTGCTATCATTGAGAAATAATAACCATGTTGGTTTTGGTCAAAGACCCAGACCTCAGACTTTGACACGTAGGCGATTGGACGGCGGACAAACTCTGGTTCTCCAACAAACAAAAACACTTTGTTGGGGCTAAAAACGTCGAACTTGGGGGGAATAAATAAATAAAGTCCAAGTCAAAAGGACGAGACTCAGCTGGCCACACGTTGAGTAAATACTAAAGCCCCCCCACTAGTGTGTGGACATGTTTAAAGTCAGGTTTAAAGTGGTGAGTCACACAGAGGATGTGTTCCAGCTGGAAACCATCTGAGCAGATTATTGAGCATGCATCAGGACATCTGAGCAGAGTTCAGATCGCTCAGAAAAACAATGAGACGTTCATCAGTTATTGAGCTTTAAAAACAAAACATTTTACCACCAGTCCAGGGGCCATTTTCTGCATAACAGACAAACTTGATATAAACCTGGGGACATAAATACTATGTAAAATCAAATATGTGGCTGTTGTACTTACTCTGGGGTCCCACACAGGTAAGTTCAGGTTACTGTCCTCAGGTTGTTTCAGTAACACAGGATTTGGCCATTCCCTACAGGAAGAAGCAAATCACAGCTGATGTCATAAAATATAAGCCTTGTCGTCAATTAGGACGTTAAATCTGTTAAGAGCTCACCATTTGGAGAAAACCAAGAAGAACTTGTGAACTAGTGTAGCAGCGACAGCGTTGGGGTAGAGCTGGCAGGTCCGGGCCACCAACATGGCCCACGACACTCCACCCAGAAAGCCCAAAATGTTGGAATAAATCCCTCGACCTGCAACCACACAGCAACGTTCAGACAAGTTCAAGACTTGTATTCTGTCCACGAGATGAAATCAGACATCATCAGATCCGCCAGAGCTTCAACTAAAACTCAACCAAACAAAATCGGATTCATTCCACCTTGATTAAAAGAATGCAGGCATTAAAGCAGAAAAAAGCCTTTTGACTGAAATGTTTTCTGCACCTGGAGGTTAACTGAGCATCAACAACTCCCCCCCGACAGAAATACGACTGTGGTTCTCTTTAATTGTTGAAAGCAGTGTCAGTTTAATCCCTTGATCATAATTAAATCAAACTGAATCTGATGCTCATGATCACAATGAGGGCAAAGTGTCCGTGTACAATTTCTCTGTTGGTTTAAATCCATCCATCCAGACAGTCCACGGTAGGGCTGTGAGGTCAAAGAGGTCAGAACAACACTTACGTTTCGCCCAAAGCTTGATGGCTCTTAATGTCAACCGGAAGTTTTCTTTGTTTGGCACCAGGTACAAAATCTCATCAGTTACTCGACACCCTGCAAGAAGAACAGATTCACAAACTCTGTCAGAGAGATCGGACCTTTCTGATGGTTTAATGAATAAAAAGTTCCATGTTTTAATCAAACTAAACCCTGCTGCTTAGAAACTGGCAGATTTGACAACTAGCTCCTTAAAACAGCAGGACAATTGGGGGCTGGGAATCGTCTATGGCGGCAGAGTAAAGCCCCCAGTATACTGCCGCGTACGTCCATACGCAGAGGTACGCACGTACGTACGCGAAGGTACGAGAGTACCCCCCAGGGCATGTCCGTGCAAAGCTCAAATTTTTACGACCGCATACGCGTACGTGGTGTCGCTCAATAAACTGCCCAGCGACGGACTGTTTTGTATGCGACACCAATGTATTAAATTCCCCTTCTTCATCTCTGATCTGGCCTTTTCTTTTGTTTTTTTTTTTGCCAAGAGGCAGTGACCTTGTTTAGAGCAAAAAACTCTACATCAATGGCTCTCATGGAATTAATAGAACAAATAACTACTGCTGTCGATCATAAACAATATTGTGTTAGTATTTTTGTTGATTTAAAAAAAGCATTTGAAACTATTGACCACACTATTCTCCTTGAACAATTGAATGGTATAAGATGGTATAATGGTATAAGAGGACC